TAGTATTTAAGGGAGATATATCTTTTAGAGTTTACCCTAAGATGGTTTATTTAGATGGAGAGCTTTATGCTATGGCTGATTACACGAGCAATATTATTGTGAATTGATGGATGAATTCGTGGAAGATGCCAATGTGTTAAACTATGTTGTGGATCTTCATGTATTATTACACATTTCAAATGAAAGTAAAATCTCATTTTTGTCTATTTTTTCTTTTTACTTGGGAACAAACTGTATTTTGCCTACCTGTGTATCTTATCATCAGGCAAGCGTAAGTAGAAAGATCTCAAGAAAGGAGACTAGAAACCGTCACCCTGGGCTGACGCAGCAAAAAAGGCAAGAGATCAAAGAAGCATTCGAGCTCTTTGACACCGATGGCTCTGGTATGGAAGTGTTTCTATCCTAATACATATTTTTGCGTGTGTTTAACAGATTTTTGTGCGCGTTCTCTTAAATGTAGTATTTTTTTCCCAACTCCTACTGTTCAGGAACTATTGATGCCAGTGAGCTGAATGTTGCTATGAGGTTTGGTAATTTCTTTTCTGAAGTTAAATCAATCTAATTAGTTCTCATACACAGTTATGTGCTGATGTAACTTCTATTGCAGGGCCCTTGGATTTGAAATGACAGAGGAGGTAATTTTTCAATCCCATTGAATCCTTCTAGTTTACGTCTTCTTCTGGATCATGATTAATTAGTGTTACGTACATGTCCAACGGACCTTTTGTTTTCAGCAAGTTGAGCAGATGATTGCTGATGTTGACAAGGATGGTAGTGGTGCAATTGATTTCGATGAATTTGTACACATGATGACTGCCAAAATAGGGGAGAGGGACACTAAAGAGGATCTCGCGAAAGCATTTAACATACTAGACCAAGATAAAAATGTAAGTCGATCTTTATTATCCACAGAGTTTTGAATCGTGCTCCACCAATCCCTTGGGAATTTCTCGGCTATAGAAAGTATGTAAGGCCTTATAATAATCTATCTTGAGAATGCAGGGGAAAATATCTGCTGCTGACATTCAGCAAATTGCCAAGGAGTTGGGAGAAAATTTCAGTGCAAAAGAAATACAAGAGATGATAGAGGCAGCAGATCGTGATCGTAAGTTCATTTCTCTCATGCCCCTACATTCTTCCTTAAATTTATCGTTTCCAGTCGGATGAATCCATTTTTAAAGTATACTTTGGGTCATCTTTATACGAGCAACTTTCACATATAACAAATATAAAAATCATATTTGTATGTTATAACTATAGTTTGTATAATTGCGCGGCTATGGAGCATCAGATTGTATAACTCGCTGGCAGGAGCTTCAGATTTGTATAATTACGCTGGCAGGCCATTTGTATATAAATCGCTGGCAGCTTCTCGTTTGTATAAATCGTTGGCAGCCTTGCAATTCAATTTTATGTGTTTGTATATCTGCATAAAATTTGAATTTGTATACAATTAAATCGAAATAAAACATTTGTATATCAAATCTCTCTCTCTTGCTTTATACAACACAAATTATACATTGTAATTTGTATAATCTGTGTTTGTATTAAGCGAGAAAGAGAGAAAGGCAAAAGAGAACTGGCAGGGAAAAATCTGTATTTGTATAATTATAAGTGTATAGGACGAAAATATATGTATTCGTATTTGTATATACAGTTTTCTCTTGCTTTATACAAATACAAACGTATTTTATACATTTGTGTTTGTATAAAAGCGAGAGAGGCGAGAGAGAGACTGGCGAGCGAGAAACCTAGGGAGAAAGGCGAATGACAATTGTTTGGTACGGATTACAATTAAATCAAACTATGGTTATAACATCTAATTTGAATTAATAGTTTGCTATTTTATATAATTTTTCCTTTCTATACAGGTGATGGAGAAGTAAGTGCGGAAGAGTTTATGAGGATGATGAGGAAAACCAGCTTCGCAAACTAGTAGTACAAAATCATATTTGTGAAGTTAAAAAAGCTTCTTTTTTTACAAGTTGCTTGTCATTCTGTTTTTCACTTATCATATCACTGTCTGCTCTGTCTTGTATTGTATATATATATATACACACATATATATAAACAGGCTATTTTTTCCCACTGAATGAATGAAAGAAAACAAGTACTACTATTGAACTTAAAGGGAGTGTTATCCTTGCATTTGCACAGCTACATTTTTGTACATAAAATTGATGATACATAAGAGAAGTTCTTAATGTGATGAACAAACAATACAGAAGAAAGATATACGCGGCAAGTATAGCCAGCTTAAGAAGAGTTTGAGTTAAAACTTAAAGACGTGATTGCCAGCTTTAAACAATTTAGATTTCTAAAAATAAAATTTCAAGAGAAGAGTATGATATATGAGATATTACATTTTAAATAACCAAAGTAGGATTATTTTAATAGAGAACAGTTACCGAACTACTATGTGATAAAAGGTAGTAAAAGGATATTAAACAAAGTCAAATACAAATTCTACGATGTAGTTATAAGGATATTATAATACTGGAAAGAATCCACATGATTCTAAGGTATTTTTAACGGTATTATTATACTTGTTTAGTTTGTGCCTTAGAAAAGTATGCTTCAAAAATATTCTATCCGGTAAATATCATTATTATAAATTGATGATAAAACATGCAAATAGAGGCGAACCCAAAGATGAGAGGAGCAGTAGATTGAGATTCGATATACGTTCATTTCTCAAGGAATATAAATATATATACCAGATACAAAAAGTCCGGATCCAATATATATTACTTTATGTATTTTAATTTATGTGACATATAAAATTAGGAGAATTACTAAATTTTTAAACATTTTTTATTGTTAATTATTTTTATAATATTTTTAACGTACTTTTCATACAACATTTGTGGCACATGTGATATTTTCTTTATTATTGTAATTTATAATACTTTTAACATAATTTTCAAATAATATAAGTTATTAACTCTGTCACAACTTATGCAACACATGTGAAATTTTGAAGTCAACCAAATTTTTAGTATGTTTATTTTTTAAGTATTTTAAGTTTTAATTATTATGACTTATAGTGCTCTTAATTAACGTAATTTTTAAATAATATATGTTATTTTCTGTTTCCAAATTTATGTTGCACAAGTGAAATTTTGAAAGTTAAAGTTTTTAATATGTTTTTAAATATTTTAAGTTGTGATCTATAGTACTTTTTAACTTAATTTTCGAATAATCTATGTTACTCATTCTATCCCAACTTACGTGGCACATGCAAAATTTTGTACTCAACCAAATTTTTAGTACGTTTTTCAAATATTTTAAGTTGTTAATTATTGTGATCTTAATGTAATTTTCAAATAATATATGTTACTTCCTCAGTCCCATGTATGCAGGTGAAATTTCGAGTTAACCAAATTTTTAATATGTAAGTTGATTTTTAGTATTATTTTTGAAAATACATAACATATAAAAAGGAAATAGGACAAATAAATTAAAACGGATAAAATATTAAATAAAATATAAATAAAGAAAGTTGAAGGATCGGAGAAGGGTAAACGGTCAATTGACTGGCTGATCTTAGGCTCCTCAACATTGGCTTCTAATATATAGTAAATTTTTTCAAAGTTAACTAGTGCGCATGTACTCAAATCATTCCACATAAATTCGTCTCTGTTTCAAAATAAAATTAATCCTGGTATATAAAAAAAATAAATTAAATATATACATAACATTTATAAATTGAGTCGTATAACAGTAACCTCTGTTAGTTAAAGTTGAGAGGCTTTTAGGCCTCCATCCAGAACCTTCGAGGATTAGATGCCGTAATTCCTAAATACGAGAATGTTGCGTTGTCAAATGCATATTTGCGTACAAGAATCACAATGTACTCTTGAGTTTTATGAAATACAGCGGACTGAACTTTTACGTGGCCAAAAACGCCGTCAGATGGAGGCACAAATGGCATAAATCTGCCGCACCGCGTGTGCACGCAGTTATTGATTCAGCAGTATACACAGCCAACCAAAATTAAATCGATCGACTAATTTAGTATAGATATAGAGTTTGTCTTATATGCATTATTATTATTATTATTATTATTTTAGTATTAAAAAAATCATATTCTCCATCGGGATACTATATTAAAAAAAAAACTAATAGAGGCTTTTACGTTTGCCTTCCAGAACCTTCGATGATAACATGTTCTAATTCCTACATGCGAGGCTGTTGCGGTGTCAAGTGCGTATTTGCCATCAAATGTAGTTTGAGTTTTATGAAAGAGCCACGTCAACTCAGCACAGCGGACTGAACTTCCTCAGTGTTACGCCGTCAGATGGTGCACAAATGGCATACAGACTGACTCACAGAGTGTGCATGCACTTAGTGATTCAGCACCTTACTTAGCCAACCAAAACTAAATCAAATAGAGTTTACCTAATATTAAACATTATCACCAGGAGTACTTAAAATTAATATTACTATTCCTGGTTGGAAATTTTTTCATAATTTAAAAAAGTTTGAACAATTAAATTATTACTTAGGACTTTTTTCGTATTTATCCTTCAGATAATGAAGTTTTTAGTTACTTATTTTTAAAAATAGACTAATTTAAAAATAATTAAAGGAGTAATAATATTTTATTTATGTCTAAATTTTTTATTTAAAGACTATATCATACCCCCAACAATTTAATTAATATATTCTAAAATTTACTAGAAATATAAAGTTCAATTTTTGGATGCTTTTGTAAAGCTCCTTAAGTTCTAAGTTCTTTCCAAAACCTACAAAGATATTTTTTTTAGTAACTATAGAACTTACGATTCGTACGAATTTGCTTTGCTGCTAAGTGGAAAGACCCATTTGACTCTTTGACTGTAAAGAAATCAAATTTGGTCATTACGTGGCGTATTTATAAGTCAACCTCGTGTGCATTCAGTGTTCCAGCTCACCCCACCCCGGCCACATATCCATAAACGAAATCTATAAATAAGCTACCAACTTATCCATGTCAACTCATTACTACTACAGCAAATTTCTGGAGTATTATTTCATATTTTTTGGGAAAAAAAGAAGGAATGAGTACTATTTTCTGTCAAGATTGTCAACTTCAAGACAATCAATGTTATACACACAAACTGACTCAAAACCAAGAATATTACTACATGGTGTCAGCTCTCCGACATGTTGTCTCCGGCGCCGGCGACGGCGATGGTCTGGTGAACGGCGAAGCTGCTCAGCTTTTGTTGGAAGTTCAAAATGCGAGTGGTGGTTCAGCCACGTCAGCTAATCTCATGCCACGTAGGAGCATTGACGTGCAGTTGGAGAAGGGTAAGAAGAGGAGAAGGAGAAATACGAAGAAGGAATTTAGGGGAGTGAGACAAAGGCCATGGGGAAAATGGGCCGCTGAGATACGTGACCCGCATAAAGCCCAACGACTTTGGCTTGGTACTTTTATTACTGCCGAAGATGCTGCTAGAGCTTATGACAAAAAAGCTATAGAATTTAGAGGTGAAAAGGCGAAAACCAACTTTCCTATCACAGAATATGCTGCTGCTGCCGTTAATGACGAGATTAACAAGTTGCCAACTGTAGTAATGGAAGAAGAGAGAGAATTATTAGTACAAGTCCTTCATGGTGTTGATGTGGCTGTTAATGGTGATCAAAATTATAGTAGTAGTAGTAGTAGTATGCAAAATGGTGAAGACGACGACTTTTGGGAGACATTAGAAGATGATGGACTTGTAAAGCGGATCACACAAGCTATGTTCTTCTGATTCTCTATTCGGCTTAGTTTTTTTGTCTGAAAATATCTTTATTCTTTGGTTTGTTTGTCGTTTTCTTCAACTTCTTTTGAGTGGCTACTAAGGAGTGATAGGAAGTATCTTGTACTAGTATTGAGTAATAATAATAATGTACTCAAGTGTTAAAGAGGCTGCAATCATATATATACAAATATATATTAAATATTATGCGTTAAATACATAAAATAACTTTTTTATGATTCGAGGTTATCTGATCAAATTTGATGATTATTTGTCGGATAAAAGAACTTATTACCCTTGTTTCTTAAAAAATTTATATACATATTCTATAGAGATGCCCCCTTCGGTTTTTTTCTTAATTTCCTAAATTTGCCTGACTATATAGCATAGTGTTCTTTATAACAATAACATACTTTAAAAATATTAATCAATTAGCTAGATGTCATCATAGAACTTTATTCTATCTCATCTCCTTCAACAAATAACCCTTGATAGAGGCTTTTACGTTTTCCTTCCAGAACCTTCGAGGATGACATGTTCTACTTCCTAAATACGAGAATGTTGCGGTGTCAACTGCATATTTGCCTACGAACTTTTCTTTTTTGGTTTCCCACCTGGTGTTCGGAGTTCACATTAGAGCTCCGACTAAATTCGGATCGCCCTTTACAGGTCTCATTCGGAGGTGGCGCTTCCAACAAGATTTTCTCCATATCTAAGGCTCGAACCCGATACTTCTGATTAAAGGTGATGCACTCCCACCAGTGTACCACAACTCATGTTGGTCATATTTGCCTACGAACTGCTAATTAAGAATCACAAATTAGTCTGATTTTTATGAAAGAGCCACGTCAACTCAGCACAACGGACTGAACTTCCTAGGTGTTACGTGGCCCAACAAAGCCGTCAAATGGAGGCACAGATGGCATAAAGTATGGCTCACCACGTGTGGATGCAATTAGTGATTCAGCAGCTTACCCAGCCAACCGAAGTCCATAACTAAATCGAGTATTTAAGTATACCCTCTGTCTTATAACATTATATTATGTCTGTATTAATTGATTATCTTAGTTAAAAATAATGTCTAATATTAGTTGTTCACCTTATTAGATTAAGAAAAAAATTAATTAAAAGTTTCATATATTACCCTTGCAATAAATATTTTTTAAAGTGTTCACATTTATTTGTAAAATTCTCAAGTTTATTAAGATGTAAAAAATTATCTTCTTATGAAGGGAGTATTATAATACTTAAAATTAATTTAAAATCCAAATTACAACTCCCTCTATATTAAATAAATTGTTTGAAAAAAATTTCAAAGTTAAAAAATAAGTGAATTATTAATTTTTCTTTTTTTATTTATCTTTCATTTAATGAGATTTTTTAACTATTTCATATTTTTTAAGATTATAATTTAAAAAATAACATATATCTAAAATATTTTTCTTAATAGAGTACACAATAATTCATTTAATATGTAGCAGAGGCCAGCTGAGGGAATAGTACTTCTTTTTGGGGTTAGTATTAGAAATATAGAGTCCAATTCGGAGTGTAGTTATCTCCGAATGAAGGAAGCTTCTATATATAGAAAGTCCTAAGTTCTTTCTAGAACTTACGAATTTAGTAACTACAGAACCTACGAATATGTCACATGGGCCAATTTTTCGCAAAATAGCCACGTGGAGTAATCAGAGCTGCTCATTACGTGGCCTACATATGAGTTAACTTAGTGTGCAGTATGTGTTCCAGCTCACTCCACTGAAGCCACATATACCCAAAACGAAATCAATAAATAAGCACACAGTTAGAGATCTCTAACCCTATCCTCTATTTTACTCTCTAAATATAATTTTTTTTATTTTTTTGGACAATCAACTACAATTCAACTCTCTATTTTAACCTCTAAAAAAGATTTTTTTCTCTCTCTTAAATATTATATTATTATTTCTATTTCATTCTTATTTTTCTTATTTCATAATATAAATACCTTATTTCTTTTTTCCAATAATTACTTTATATAATTTTCATGTTATATAAAAATTTATTTTTTCAAATTTTTTATTTAATATAAAATTATGTTTTATTCTAAATTTTTAAATAACATAAAATTTGCAAGAAAGTATTATATAATATACAAATTAATGGACAAATTCAAATAAAAGTGAAACACAAATTACATAAACACTCAATTTTCAAAATTATTAACGTTGCTTCCATAAATGCTCTATTAATGCATTACAGAGTTCAAAATGAACATTTTTGTTCTTAATTTTTTTTTATGTCTAGCTAAAAATTATTCAAATCGGAGATTTTCATCTACCACCATTTATGTCGTTGGAGTTGGAGCCTCTACGACATCTTGAATTGGTGCATTAAGTTCATATTCATCCTCAATTATCATGTTGGACAGTATAATACATGTAGTCATTATATCATGTAGCACTTTCCTTAGCCAAAAACGTGACGGCCTTGCAATAATTGCAAAACGTGATTGCAAAATTCCGAATGCACGTTCAACATCTTTTCGGCATGATTCTTGTTTCATCGGAAATTAATTATTAGGTTATGTATTGTATTTTATCTTGTATTTAAATTATTATGTCATGTATTGTATTGTTATCTTGTATTTAAATTATCATATTATGTATTGTATTTTTAATTAAATTTTTCTATTCTTATCATTTTAATTTTGTTGTATTCTTTATAGTGAAAATTAATAGTAAAATCAAATTATATTATTGACGAAAATTAGAAAAATTAAAATACTATTAATTCAGGATGAAAGTAGTATATATTAAATAATATGTTTTTAAAAATATTATATTACATTTAAAAATAATTATGAATATTAGATATTTAATTAATGACATTATATATAAAATAATATGTTAATTAGAAAGTAATAGAAATAATAATAAAATATTTAAAAAGTGAAATAGAGAGTGTTGAATAGTAGTTCTCCAAACTATTATTCACCTATCTAAATATGAAGAATAGAGAGTGATATGGAGATGAATTGGAGCGCTTATTCTCTATTTTACTCTCCAAATATAGAGAATGAAGAGTAAAATAGAGGTGGATTGGAGATGGTCTTACAAATCATTAACAACTACAAATAAATTCAGCTTATTTTAGAAAAAAAAAGAATAGATTCTGTCAAGATTCTCTACTTCAAGAAAATGACTGTTATACCCTCGCACACAATTTGACTGAAAATAAAAAACTTTACTACATGGTGTCAGCTCTCCGACATGTTGTCTCTGGCGTCGGCGACGGCCGAGTGGACGGCGAAGCTGCTCAGCATTTGTTGGAAGTTCAAAATGCTAGTGGTGGTTCAGCCACGTCAGCTAATTCGATGCCACGTAGGAGCGGCATTAATGTGGGGTTGGGGAAGGGGAAGAAGAGGAGAAGGAGGAATACGAAAAAGGAATAGAGGGGAGTGAGACAAAGACCATGGGAACGAGTTTGGTTGGATATTGAGCAACTTTCACATATAGCAAATACAGAAATCATATTTGTATGCTATAACTATAGTTTGCATAATTGGGCTCCATAGCAAACATAAATATGTATATTTCGTTATACATATACAAAAGAAAGTAGTTGTATATAATCTGTTTCTGTTTCGGTATACATATACAAAAGATCAATTGTATAATCTGTATTTTTATAAAGCGAGAAAGAAAGAAAGACAAAAGAGAACTGGACAGAGAAATTATATATATATATTGTATAATTATAACTGTATAGGACGAAGATATATGTATTTATATGTGTATATACAATTTTCTCTCGCTTTATACTAACAGAAACGCAATTTATACATTTATGTTTGTATAAGCGAGAGAGGCGAGGGAAAGACTGGCGAGCGAGATCTGGGAGAGGGGAACGAAAATATATGTATATATACAATTTTTCCTCACTTTATACAAACACAAACGCATTTTATACATTTGAGTTTGTATAAAAGCGAGAGAGGCGAGAGGAGAGAACGAGAGTGGCGAGCGAGATTCACCAGGAGAGAGGCAAAATAACAACAGTTTGTTATGGGGTACAATTAAATCAAACTATGTTCATAACATTTAATTTGAATTAATAGTTTGCGATTATATACAATTTTTCCTACCTTCATTACCGCCGTCAGATGGTGCACCTATTTTGAGACATGTGTGATGATTATTTTCTTTTACATTTTTCCTTATTCTTCATCTTTTATCTCTTTTGATGGTTGTTTTTTTGTCTTCTTTAGTCTGATTTTGCAGGAGAGATCTATGATGAAGATTGTTAGATGTTTTTGTGTAGTTCGATTTTATAAGGTAAAACTATTTGATGCTCCTAATATAGTTATCACTTTTTCTCTGTTGCAATTATACCTTCAATATTATTATTTTTGAATTCATGATAATATGAATCATGAATTTTTTTTAGAAAAAAATTGTTTGATTTTTTCTCTTTGCATCTTTTTGTAGTTTATAGAGAATTTTTTTTCTTCATATTGTAGTTTTTAGAGCATTAGATTATGTTATGTTGATAACAAGATTCTTCCTTTATTTTTAACTCATAATTAAATGTTCTTTAAAGGTTTTTATTTGATTAGTTAACTTCATTTTTATATATTTTTTTGTTGTTGTCGTATGGTTAACTTATTTTGTTTTCATGTTAGGATGTTTTTGAAAATAGAAGCTGAAAAAAAAGTTAACACATACATGTATTCTACTCAATAAAACATGTATATATAATTTTGTAGTCACGTAAATCCATTTTAATAATTATTATGATAGATTATGAGAATGTAAAGTTAATTCATAGTTTTTAAAATATTGTGTAATTTATATATAAAAAAAATGTGTATTGATATGGAAACTTTGAAGTCTTCATATTTTTATTTTTTTATTTTTTATTAATATTTATATTGGAAGTTCTCAAGTTTTTGAGATTTTCAGAGATCACTATTACAATCTGTTTGATCAGAAATTAAAATACAAAAGCATTTGTTTAGGATAAAAATGATTTAGTAAATTCGTTCTCTCTCAATCTACTTTCTTCTTATTTATCTTTCTATTTTCTCATTTTTCTTTGACATTTTTTCTGTTTATTTATTACTTTTTATTGTACAAAAAAATAAATGTATTAGTTACTACTCCTCCATTAATTCATATTTTTTAATATAAAAATTTAAGTGTCTTTATTTTCCATACTTTAGTGACTTTTGGTGATCATAACTCCTAAATTATATTAATAATCATGTTCATGATATCATTTGAAAATTCACATTATTGTCCTATAAATAGAGGCATTATAAAAATAATTATTAAAAAATGATCGAATATTATATATAAATATATTAAAAACAAAAAAATAATTTCCTTAACTCGTTTTTTTTTTAGGAATTTTTTAAATTCCATCATTTAATTTTCTCAATAACAAGTTTATGTTAAAAGTGTTAAAAAAGATCATATATATAAATTAATTTTCTTTTTAACAACATAAATGGGGTGTAAATAAGGATACTAAGAGTCATATCTTTTTCTTTTTCCTTTTTATCAAAATAAATGTGTATATATGATTAATGTGTATTAATAAATTTATTATTATTGAAAGCAAACAAAAGTTTCTTTTATTTTTTCTACATTAAAGAATGACTTATCCTTTGGAGAGTTATTACTCCAATTTATTTATAATAATTACCACAATAATATTTTAATAATAGAAATAATTGTATTTATATTGTCAACCTTTTTATTGTCCTACCTTCAACATTGCATACGCATATTATTTTTTAAAATATTTCTTTGTCGCTCTTTGATAATCTCTATACAATTGGATTAGGTAAGTATCACACCAAGTCACTAAATGATATCATGACTTATCTTTTATAGTTCATTTTACATTGTGTGTTTAACTTTTTTATTTTTTTATTGTAAAAATATAACCTCAACCGTAATATTGTTGCACTATCGCAACTTAATTCTCTCTTATCGCAATGCCTCTACAAGAATGAGAGTTTAAATACAAAAAACTTAATATTTTGCATTAGATTAGTGTCGGTACGAATATCGAATATCAAAAAAAAAATATCTCTAACTTTTGAATTTCGTGCATAACTATGTTAGAATATAATACAAGTATTTCTTTCTCACCATGATTTACCAAAAATGTATCTTTATTTATTTATTTTTATTTTTATTTTTATGTCATTTATACAAAAAGAAAGTCACGTAATTTATAATCGAATAGATTTAATAGTGTTAACTGAAGCTTTTCATATCAACGTTTATATTTTGAACTTTTTTATTTGTATGGAAAAAAAAAATTAGCAATTTCTTTTTGAAGAAGTAATATCAAAGTCGTATTTTAATGTGTGTTTCTCTTTTATTATTAATAGTGAAGTTAATTCTTTAAAAATATGTTTAAGTTGTTTTATAACCGCGCAAAGCGCGGACAAATACAGTAGTTTAAAAATATAAAGTTCGATTTTTGGATGCTTTGTTACCTTCGAATGTAAAGCTCCTAATGTTCTATTTTCTTTCCAAAAAAAAGTACGAAGATATTTATTTTTTTGTAACTATAGAACGTACGAATATGCTTAGCTGGTAAGACCCGGTTGACTGTTTTGACTGTAAATAAAACAGATTTTCTCATTAAGTCAACGTCGTGTGCATTCAGTGTTCCAAAAGTCAAAACGAAATCTATAAATAAGCTGACAACTTATCATTACTACTACAACAAATTTCAGGGGTAAAAAGGAAGAATGACTATTCTCTGTCAAGAGAATGAATGCTATACCCTTGCACACAAACTGACTCAAGACCAAGAAAATTACTACATGGTGTCAGCTCTCCGACATGTTGTCTCCGGTACCGGCGATGGTAGGGTGAACGATGAAGCTGCTCAGCTTTTGTTGGAAGTTCAAAATGCTAGTAGTGGTAGGAGCAATATTGATGTGGAGTTAGAGAGGGGGAAAAAGAGGAGGAGAAATACAAAGAAGGAATTTAGGGGAGTTAGACAAAGACCATGGGGAAAATGGGCCGCTGAGATACGTGACCCGCATAAAGCCCAACAACTTTGGCTTGGTACTTTTGTTACCGCTGAAGATGCTGCTAGAGCTTACGACAAAAAGGCTATAGAATTTAGAGGTGAAAAGGCTATAACCAACTTTCCTATTACAGAATATGCTGATGAGATTAACAAGTCACCAACTGTAGTAATGGAAGAATTAATACAAGTCATTAATGGTGTTGAGGTGGCTGTTAATGGTGAAAATAGTATGCAAAATGGTGATGAGGACGACGACTTTTGGGAGACGTTAGAAGATGATGGACTTGTCAAGCGGATCAATATGTTCTTCTGATCCTCTCTCTATTTTTGGGTCTGAAAATATCTTTATTCTTTGGTTTGTCTGACGTCGTTTTCTTCAACTTTTTTTGAGTGGCTACTAAGGAGTGGTAGGAAATATCTTGTACTAGTATTCATGAGTAATAATGTACTCAAGTGTTAAGAGGCTGCAATCAAATCATATATATATAGTTTATATATTAAATATTATGCGTTAAATACATAAAAGAACTTTTCTATGATTCGAGGTTAAAATTTGATAATTAAACATTTTGTGCTTGTCAAATTAGTGACACTATAATATATTTTATTTTATTTCAAGAGATAATGATATACTTATCATTTTAAAATCCTAAATTTGCGTGACTATAGCATAGTGTTCTTTATAACAATATAACATACTTGAAAAATATTAATCAATTAGATGTCATCATATAACTTTATTCTATCTCATCTCCTTCAACAAATAACCCTTGATAAAGGCTTTCCTTCCAGAACCTTCGAGGATTACATGTTCTACTTCCTAAATACGAGAATGTTGCGGTGTCAACTGCATATTTGCCTAGGAACTACTACTAATTAATCACAATTTAGTCTGATTTTTATGAAAGAGCCACGTCAACTCAGCACGACAGACTGAACTTCCTAGGTGCATGTTACGTGGCCCAGCAAAGCCGTCAAATGGAGGCATAGATGGCTCACCACGTGTGGATGCAATTAGTGATTCAGCAGCTTACCCAGCCAACCGAAGTCCGTAACTAAATCGAGTATTTAAGTATACCCTCTGTCAGCTCTATATTATTGATTGATTATCGTACTAAAACTAATTGTTTGTTCACCTTATTAGATCAAAAATACATTAATTAAAATTTTCATGTATTATCCTTGCAATTATTTTTCTTAAAAAAATATTCACGTTTATTTGTAAAATTCCAAAGAAGTTTTTTAAGATGTAAATTAGTAAATTATCTTCTTATTTATGATTCTTTAATATGTGTATAAAGAAAATGATCAACTAATTAATATGGAATGGAGGAGGATTAGAATACTTAAAATTGATTTAAAGTCCAAATTACAACTCCCTCTATATTAAATAATTTGTTTGAAAAAAATTTCAAAGTTCAAAAATAAGTGAATTATTAATTTTTATTTTCTTATTTACCCATCATTTAATGATATTTTTTAAAATTATAATTTTAAAAAATATATTTGGAAAAAGTAACATATATCTGAAATATTTTTCTAATAGAGTATATAATAATTCAATTAATATGGAGCAGAGGGCTGAGGGAATAGTACTTTTTTTTGGGGTTAAAATTAAGGAATTGTACTTAAAATCACTATTTATAAAATTTATTATTAGAAATATAGTCCAATTCGGAGTAGTAGTTAATTACCTCGGAATGAAGCTTCTATATATAGGAAGTCCTACGTTCTTTCCAGAACTTACGAAAGATATTTTGTTTAAGTAACTACAGAACCTACGAATACGTCAGATGGGCCAATTTTTCCCAAAATAGCCACGTGTAGTAATCAGAGTTGCTCATTACGTGGCCTACATATGAGTTAACTTGGTGTGCAGTAAGCGTTCCAGCTCACCCACCACAGCCACATATACCCAAAACGAAATCTATAAATAAGCACACAACTACAACAAATTTCAGCTTATTTTATTTCAGAAAAAGATTCTATCAAATGACTGTTATACCCTCGCACACAATTTGACTGAAAATCAACAACTTTACTACATGGTGTCAGCTCTCCGACATGTTGTCTCCGGCGCTGGCGACGGTGAAGCTGCTCAGCTTTTCAAAATGGTAGTGGTGGTTCAGCCACGTCAGCTAATTCAATGCCACGTAAGAGTATTAATGGGGAAGGGGAAAAAGAGGAGAAGGAGCTAGGAATACGAAAAAGGAATTTAGGGGAGTGAGACAAAGACCGACCATGGGGAAAATGGGCCGCAGAGATACGTGACCCGCACCGAGTTTGGCTTGGTACTTTCATTACTGCGGAAGATGCTGCTAGAGCTTACGATAAAAAAGCAATAGAATTTAGAGGTGAAAAGGCTAAAACCAACTTTCCTATTTCGGAATATGCTAGCTGCTACTGCGGTTAATGATGAGATTAACAAGTTGACAACTGTAGTAATGGAAGAAGAGAAAGCATTATTAGTACAAGTCCTTAATGGTACTGGTGACGTGGCTTTGAATGGTGAAAATAGTAGTAGTACTAGTATGCAAAATGGTGATCATGACGACGACGTTAGAAGATGATATATGGACTTGTCAAATGGATCACACAAGATATGTTTTTGTGATCTCCTCCTCCATCTATTCCGCTTAGGTTTTTCTGTATGAAAATATCTTTATTTCTTTGGGTTGTTTTTTTCGTTTCCTTCAACTTCATTTGCGTGGCTACCAAGGAGTGGTAGGCAATATCTTGTAGACTCTAGTATTTAGTAATGTACTCAAGTGTTAACAGAGGGAGCAATCATATTATTATAATTTTTTTAAAAAAAATAAGCTAATTTGATTACTTGGTACAAATTTTAAGAACTTTTTTTGAAAAAATTCTAATGGTCTTAAATACACAAAAGTACTTTTCTAGCTATTTATCAAGTTTATGCGATATGACTACTATATATATATATATA